GGAGTGTGCTTCTTGGAAAACAGTGATCAAGCCTGTAACAAGGAAAGGAAGTTCACAAAAATAGTTCACAAAAATAGCTATTTCAAATCCCAATAAGTATGCATCCAGCTCTCATGATCTCAGCTATGGATTAATGTCCCAAATTTTCACTGAAAAGCTCAATCCCAGATATGTGTAACAAATTATCTCTTTCAGTGTATTATCTCTTATGAGCTAACACTTTATATGTAGTTATTGCTTGTTTGCATGAAGGATAAGTTCTGCCTTTTCTTTTTTTAAAGTCAGAGTTACCTCAATGAACATGGTTGTAAAAGATACAAAAGATACAAAAGGGTCTAATTAGTTTTTAGTTCATTAAAAATGATATGGAACTCAACTGCAAATGTCAAGAGACTGAATCAGATACCTTATAAATGTAAACTTGTGTTCCATTACTATGTTTCCGATTCTAGTGGAATGAGCAATTTGCTTTTTAAAATGAGTGCTTGTGCGTGCCTTTGAATCACTGTTGACTTCTGGAGATTGCCTGGACCAGTCCCTGCAGTTTTATTAACAGGATTTCAGAAGTGGTTTGCCCTTATCTGCTTCCTAAGGCTAAGAGAAAGTGACTGGCAGAAAGCTAAATATGGACCTAAGGTAGAACTTATAATTTCCCAGTTTCCAGATCAGTGCCTTAAGCAGTTACACCAAGCTGTATCTTGCTTTTAAAAAGGATGGATGTCAATTAAGAAGATAGTTGTGTAACTATATGTAGTAGAAATTCTGAGTCTAGCAAACTAAATGATCAGACAATTCCATTTTGAAATGTCCCATATAAGCTATATTTGTCTGAAACACAGCTGTCTCTGTGTTATGTAGAATGGCAGTAGGATAGTGCCCAAGAGGGGAAAAATATGAATGGCAGCAAAATAGTTTGTTCAAATAACTCAGTAAAAGTAAATTTAGGTTCAGAACCCTCCAAATATCTGACCATCACTTTGCTATATCGGATACATATAGTTGTGCTTTTAAAGTTGTAGCAACATTTCGGCAGAATCTCATCTGCCATCATCAGGCTTCTGTATTGTGTTCCTCTGTGAGTCAGACTTTTACAGTTGTTTCAGTTTTAAATTTGGGGCTAGCCTACTGCTGTGCCAGAATGGTTTTTTCTTCATCCTGATTGATTGGGAGTCTTGGTCTGTGTTTATTGGTCTTGGAATTTGCTGTGTTCTGCTTGATTGGTGTTTCTAATATCTTGTCTGTTTTGTGGCTTTTTTTGTCTTGGTTGGCTGGCAACATTGTGTTCCTGTATTGGAGGCTTTTAGTGCAGCTTGGCTTCGAGTAAATGGATGGCTATCATTTGTTAGGAAGCTAGGTTTCATCTGGGTGCCTGGTTGGGGTGTGTTTGAGCTGGAGGTATCAGGGGGGATCTGTTTGTGCCCAGGTGTTTGCCTGGCTTGTGGTGTGGAGATTTTTTTGTTTGTGAGTGCAGGCTTCCAGATAATTGACAGTCTGGTGGAGTCACCTCTTCTATTCATGCTTTCAGTTTTTTTTTTCAATCTCTATGGCTTCTCTGATAATTCTGTGGCTGGGGTTTTCTATAGTGGCTAGGGTTTTGGTGCCATTGAAGTTGATGCTATGACCTGAGGCTTTCATGTGTTGGACTAGTGAGGAAGTGTGTTCCAGCTTTTTTACTGCATTTTTGTGTTCATCCAGGCGGGTACTTATTCTTTTATTGGTCTGTCCAATGTATGTGGCTGGGCATGATGCACAGGGGACTTCATATATGCCTTGGTTTTCCAGGTCAATTTTATCTTTGGGGTTTCTAAGGATGGCTGCTATTTTTCTGTCTGTTTTGAAGGCAGTCTTGATGTGATGCCTGTGTAGTATCTTACTGATATAGTCTGTAGTATCTCTTATGTAGGGCAGGACAGCTGTTCCATAGGTCTGTTCATCTTCTAGGTCTTCATTATGTCTCAGTGTGTTTTTGTGGATCAAGCTGGTGATTTTGCTTTTGTGGAAGCCGTTGGCTGTCAATACTTTAGTCAGGGTGCATAGTTCAGTCTTTATGTGTGTCTTGTCTGCCAGGCGTTTGGTTCTGGCAATTAGTGTTTTGGCCACGGAGTTTATCTGTGCTGGGTGGTGGTGGGATTGGGCATTGAGGTAGTGGTTGGTGTGTGTTTTCTTCTGGTATATGGTGTGTCCTAGTGTGCCATCTGTTTTTTTTTGTAGATTAGTACATCTAGGAATGGTAGTTGTTTGTTTGTTTCCATTTCCATGGTGAACTTGATTTTGGGGTGTGTGCTGTTTAGGTGTGTTAGGAAATTTTTTAGGTAACCAGCTATCCCAAAAAGAAAAGAAAAGACCTTCTACCTTGAGGTATCTTAAATATGAATTTATAGCACAAAAACTGTGCTCAGGTACATCAAGTGTATTAGTGAGTTATGAAAATAACTCTTTTCATAACTCATTAAATAACTGGCCTTTGACGAGATGGAAAATAGAGGAAAGTGAAATGCAGAAAGTATTAACAGTTATTTTATTAGAAATGCCTTTTCAGAAATATGAAGTTGGATAATAACCCAATCATAATTGCATTTGTGAATTAATATATAAATTAAAATGACTAATATAAAACAATCTTGTTCAAGTCACAAAAGATAATACTGAACTTCTTAATTAACTGTGGTACGGATGCTTTTTGTTGCAATCATATCTAACATTTCCTTATTCAATAATGTATTTTGAAGTCACTGACAGAATGGCAAAATTTATTTATTTATTTACTTCTTTTTATAGTCCCATTCTTGAGGACCTGAAGGACTGAGTCTAATATCATGGAAGAAAAAAAAAAAACCCACTTGTACCTTGGGTTTCTAGTCTCTTATCCATATAACCTGTTCACCAATATACCCTTAAAATCTGCTTCATTTGGTTGGAGCAGATTTAGAAAAATGCAAGGAGCTACAGATAATACAGCCCCTTTGCATTCTGTATGTAAAAACTGCTACTTCTCACATTTTCTTTTTTAAAACTCAGAGTTGTTAAACAGCTAACCCTAAAAAGGATTTGTGCCATCACCCCAAAGTTGCTTTGCAAATAGATACTGTCAATAATGGAATCATCACCCACTTTCATTATCTGTCTTTCATTTCCCTCTTTCTTCACTGTTTCTCCCACTGTGCATATCTCTCTAGTTCATCATTTTGATAAAAGTGATTCTAGTAGGGAAAAGACTTATTGTCTTTAATATGCCATCAATTTGTTGTTTCCATTCATTTTTTTAAGGTAAACAAAACTATCCTATTAATGCTGTCAGATGACACCAGCCACTGGTAGTTATTTCACAGAAAGAATTATTGTAAGATATTAAAGGGAAGGGGGGGAAATCCACATGTGATTTTTTTTCCAAATCAGTGTCTTCCAAATACAAAGGGTGAAAGAATCTTAGTAACAGCCATTGTGGGAATGTTACATTAATCTAATTTGCTTTATTGATATGTTCTGCCTACTTTCTTCCTAAGTTCCTGATTCTTTCAAAGGTCTCATTATCCCAGAGCATTATTTCTTCATACATTCCACCCCAAAAAATCAAAATATGGTATAAAAGAAGTTGCTCTTAACATAGATTGCTGTTTATTCCAAGGTCATACAAACTATAAAAGATTGTTGGAGAATTCAGCCAACTAACCATGCAATTTATAGAACTCTTAGATGACAAAATGGGAAGTTATCGAGAACATATCATGGGCCTGGCTTTCTTCCATTGTTTTTGTTCAGCCCACTAGAACTAGCAGAGAGGATATGCAACACATCCCCCCTATCAAACAAGGTCAACTTGCTTGATCTAGGAGCCATGTCTTCTCTAGGGCAGTGTCTACCTTGTGTAATAACACCCCCCGCCCCGAGATCTGGATGTCTCCAACCCTATTGGCTTTTTATAAGGCTCTAAAAATCTGGCTGTTTCTCCAGGTATTCAGGCCAGGTAGTTAGATAAAAGGTTGGGCAAACTTATTGTGGATATGATTTTATAAGGTATCATTTCCTTTCAATGTCATGGGCTATTATTTTTAATTCTTTGGTTTTAATCCTTATACACTACTGAGTATCACTGTTGTGAGAATGGTGGCCATATAAATTATTTAAATAAATAAAATAATATACCATCCTAATAAAACTATTGTTATGCGTAGATTTATAATTCAAATTTAATTATAATTTGAATTTACAAAATCCTAAGTGAATCTGGAATATATGTGGTAACTCATGAAGACCACTATGCATTGTTTCAGGAGTACAAATACTTTTACAGAATCCTGTTTCTGGAAAATGACTCAATTGGAAAAAATAATATTCAGATAATATTTGTTGTGTTTCTTATAATCACTGATTATGAATAAACATATCCAATTGCTTCATATATACATAAATCACTGCCAACAGATGTGCAAGAATGCTTTTAATAGAAATCAACCTAAAGCTTTAATAATTAGCAAGAGCTTGCAGGATAGGAAATTGAGATCTTATATCAGGAATACACATCAAAGACATTTCATCATTATGTCAGGTCTCAATTTTATTTGGGAATTAAGTATCCAAATCATTTATATATTGGCAAATCTTTAATCATTTTATTATTTCTATGGTCATTCTTTTGCTATTTATTTGATGTTGTTTGGATAAAATCTATTATTATTATTATTGTTCTTGTTTCTGATTTAAGATGATTAGAATTATAAACATAACCTAAGACAGCCAAGGGATGTGCATGCTGTAATGTATTTCATGATAAGGATATAGTACATCAAACAAGAAAGCCATATAGAACCATCATTCCCTTCACATGTTGCACAACCAAGATGATTGCAAATACTGAACATGTATATGGATAGCATGGAGAGATGTCACAATGAGGATAGATCAGTAAGAGGCTTTATGAAGGAAATGAATGGCAATGCTTAGAACAGCAAGGAGGGAGGGAGGACTGAGCAAAAAGGAATTGCACTTTAAATAAACTATACCTTCACATCCCCGCTCAATCTGCCCACTACGGTGCAGCGCATCATTAATGAGATCTGGTAGGCGCCCATTCAAGTCTACTGATGCTAGACATCCCTGAAATCCATCTCTGGATGCTACCAGCTTTGGGAGATTGCTATACATTCCTTGAACCAGTCCAGCAATGTACAGGTCACCTAAAGGAAAACAGATAGGAGACAAGGAAACTCCAAGGAAACCAGTGAGTTGTGCTATTTGCTGTTATACTCTGATCAGCATCTGTTATACTCTGATCAGCATCTTAAAAAGCCTTATTGCTAATGATAGGTAATGCTAATAGGAGAGAACTTTGCAATATCAACAACTGTGCGATATAGAAATAAGCAGCTACAATTATACATTGCATCAACAATACCATAGTTCCCAAATTATAAACAGTAACAATTTCATTACATTCTGCATGATTCAGCCTCCAAGTTTTATAGTCAGTTCTAGGCACCATACTTTAGAAGGAAGATCAAAGGACAAGCAACTGATTCGGGGAATTAAGAATCTTTAGTTTAATAGTGGGAAGATACAACTGAGGAGGGTATATTTGTCACTCAGAAGGCCAAGTTCTATTCTCTATCATTCCAGAGCACATGTCACATAACAATAATTTTAACTTACAAGAAAACAGATTCTGAATGAATGTGAGGAAAAATAAGAAGAAGAACTGTTTTACAGGTGAATCAGTTACAGGCTACGTACTGGGCTTCCCTTCACTTGGTTATATTCAAGTGGAGCAGCAGTGAGACAGCTATCTATTGGGGAGGTTTAATCTGGACTCCTGCCCTAGGGATTGGATTTGAAGATGTAAATGGCCCCTTTCAACCCTACAAGGCCATATATAAAATTATTAAGAAATAAGTTCATCTATCCAGTGCAATAACTTTTTAAAATCTTATTGTTTTCCACAGAGTTGAGTTCCCAAACCCATGATCTCTTTATAATTGAAAATACCAGGTATTTATTCTCATTATACGGATTGCCATTCCAATATTTCCCACATTTAGCTGTCGGATTTTTCAACCGATATGGTATTAGGAATAATTATTATCATGCATGGATGAATCAGTTCAAAATTGATCCAATGACTTACCCTTAAGGTCAAGGTTTTTGGCACCATTGATGACCTGAGTAACAACCCTGGTATCCACTTTTAGGCTATGGGTGTTGCTGTTGTCTCTGGTGATAACTACATTGTGCCACTGGTTGTCATTCAATGGGCGATCACTATTGCCCTTGATAACATTAGGTCCATTTCCGAGATCAAACACATAATGTATATACCTGCAAAAAATAAAAGTTCCTGCTTTGAAAAGGTTCAGAGAAAAAAAGATGATTCTAATAATCAAATAATACAGGTTTATCTAGGGAAATGAAACAGAAGCAGCTTCATCAGAGAAAACATGCTATAGCTATGAAGTCATTAAAGTTATAATTTCACAAAATAAAAGAATCAGAAATTAAAATTAAGTTTTGAACATATGAAAGACCTCTATTAACTAATCCATTGCCAGAGCCAACTGAAGATCTTACCCCTTGACCAGCTCAACTGCAATGAAATCATTTCCATCCCCACTGTTGAAAAGGATGAAACCATCAGCAGACGTTGTCTTGAACTGGAAGAAGAGATGCATGGAGGTATAGGCCTGCAAAGTTGCTAGGCTCAGGTAGCTGCTCTTGGTCTTGAAGGTAACGGGATCAGCAATGATGTTACGAAGCCCAAAGCGGGCTTTCAATTCACAATAATCAATGTCTCCATTCTTGCATAAGTCAATGTAGAGAAGGCCATTGAACATGAGGCTCTGAAGGTGGCCAATGAAGCTGGAAGGAATGACAGAGATGTAACGCTTCTCTGTCATTATCCCAGTCTCAATGTTGTGGAACTCCAACCGAGTGTGGTCACCAACCATTGTACCTGAAGATCAAAGCACAAAAAAACTAAAAAAAAGTTCTGCAGTAACTAGTAATAGAAGAAAAACTACTCCAAATTATTTCCATCTTTCAATAAATTATGACACATCTTGCTAAACTACAACTTCCAGTATTTTTCTAGGAATATTGGGAACTGCAGCTCATCAAAATGTGGAGTGATAGATAGTTCCTGAACCTTTTTCTATTAATACTAATGCTGTTTCTTTAAAGCAACCTATCACAACTTGGTACATTAAATCTGTACATCTACAATGCCAAGAAATTGCAGTCTTTAGTCCTCCTGGCAGAGAAATTTAGAGCCATATTCCAACTCATGTGGGTAACACAATGATAAACAAGGATGCCTTAAGGCTCCACCATCTTGTCCAAAGGATGCAAGGTAAACCACTGAAAGAAATGCATTAGAAGACTGCATGCTAGTAAGCCCTGACATTCCTCTTTCTTCTTTAGTTTGGCTTTTGAGAAAACGCTTTTTCAAAGATGTGATCACTGAGAAAGTTGGTTGAACAGGCAAAGTTATCAGGGAGCTTGTATTAAGCTCTGAGTGCAATTGAAATTAAAATGGGATGAACAGAGACACAATTTTAAAAGCAAGCAAAATCAGCAGTCCGTATATTATTTGGCCTTGAGGATAGTAGCATCAGTTTTTAATTTTAAAAGCTAAAATTACACACTAAAGTTTGACTTTTCATAAACTCTTCCACTGTATAATGTACAGATAATCAACATTTATATCAGCCTGTACAAGTCACTGTAATAATCATCTTTACATCTTTTCAATTTCTATATATCTTTAACAATTCCCGAGAGAATCTTTTTTGTAGGTTTCATGTCAGTGTTGACTCTTAGTGAGCACCTAGATTTTCTCCATGATGATTTGTCTCTAATCTGGTCCTTCACATCTTCCAACAGTGTCCCTATTGCCACTATAACATGCCCCTGGTTATCCTTTTTTCCACCTTTCTTACCATTAGAGCCTTCTCTGAGAACTAAGTCTTTGCATAATGAGTCTGAAACAGAATAATTTGAGCCTGATCATTTTTGGCTCAAGTGAGAACTTTGGGTTGATTTGATCACCGATCAATTCATCAGTTTGTTTTTGTGGCTATCCATGATATTCTCCACAGTTCTTTCCAACACCATTGTTCCAATCCATTATCTTGCTTCTTCAAAGTTCTACTTTTGCTTCTACAGACCTTGCATTTTTCTGATCTTTCTTAGCACAGATAGATATTAGCCTTTGAATATCTTTTGTATCACCTTCATATCTGCTCTATGAAATGCTACTTGTGACATAATAATTTCTTTACATATTATTTATATTGTTTGAAAGCTTTTAACAGAAATAATAAGAACAACTACAAAGTAAAATAGAGCAGAGAAAATAAAAAGGGAAACAAAATGAAAGGAAAAGCTAAAGTGCAATAAGAAAAAAGCAGAAGAAAGTAGAAAAAGAGACTAACACATATATAAAGGTATAAAGAAGCAGTTTTCAGTGTTTTTTACAGCAGTTAAGTACAATTATATTTTAACCTCTCTTTCTAGATACACTGTGACACTTTTCTTTCTGTAATCTTTCCTGTCTGATCATCAAAACTGTAAATCACAAGTTTATTCCCCCTCTCCACTTTTATGCAAAAAATCTGTTAGGGATATTTGTTGACTGCTTGTTCCTTTATTGTTGTTGGTTGATCCTAAAGAGCAGAAACTATCTTCCACTTTGATATCTTCATTGTCAATTCCAGGCCTGGTTGTTGTACCTCTTGTCTTTAGGTTGATTTTCATTGTATTTAGTCCCATTTTTATTATTTACTTTTATTACTAGACTTTGCAGATTTTTTGCATTTTCAGCTATTAAATAATTAATTAGATTAATGTCATCAGCAAAGTGCAGGTTATTATTATTATTCTCCAGTTTTAAAACTACAGTCAACTCTTTCAATCCAGACTTCTGGTTTCTCTTCCATCGTGTTCAGAGTGGAATCCGTGACCGTGTGCGGTTTCACTCCAAGCTAGCTTGTTGGAGAGTCCCAATTGAGACCAGAACTGCCCTGGAGGGGTGGTGAAGAAAGGGGGAACTGCTTGGAGGTTTGAGGGGAGGCATATCCCTTCCCTGACAAGATAACCCCCCTTTCTTAAATAATATGGTGATTGGCATTAGAAGAATGAATTGGAATATTGAATAATTAAATAATGTTGAAATTAAATATAAAAGATGCTCGTTGAAACAATCTACTGGACATTTGGATTGGATATAATTATTAAAGAAGAGGAACAAAAGGAGAAGCATATACAATGGGGGAATTATTTGCGGAAATGAGACTGGATTTACAAGATATGATGAAAGGAAGTGTGGAAATGTGCAGCAATATATTACAAAAACTAGAAATAGCACTTCAGAACAAAGAAGAACAAAGAGAAGCAGAAGGGGAGTAGTTAAATAAAGAGGAAACCAGTTTTGAAGATCAAGTGGAGCAACAATCATTTAAGCAGGAGGAAAAAAAGATTTAAAGTTAAAAATTTGTGGTTTAATGTGATAATGAAAGGGGGAATGGTTCAGAAAACTAAACAAAGGAAAGGGAAAAAGCAGAAGAGGAAACTACAAAACAAAGATCAAGAGGGGGGGGATAAAATAAATAATTGGAATGAGAAATGGAGGAGAATAATAATGGGAAAAAGGAGAACTAAGAGAAAGGATCAGAAAATAAAAAGAAACAGGAAGCAAACAAGAATGAAAAGAAATTACATAGTTAGGAGGATGAGAGACAATAGATTAAAAAAAAGATAGGAGATTCTGCAAGGTAATGTGCTGTGATATATAAGAAGTAGTATTTGAAAATAGATAAGATTGGAACTGATTTTTTTTTCTTATTTTCTTCTTTCCAAGGATTATTGTTATATTAGACATGGAATTTAATGGAATAGATATGGAAATGGGAATTTATTATAAGAATATTAATTGATAATCAGTGATGTACAAAATTATGAGAATCATAATGGAAACATTAATATCAGTTTCTATAATTAATTGAATAGATTAATATTTTTGCAATATATAGAGATTTTGAGAAAAGAATACTGTGCGGAATCTGTATCTGTAAAATATATGCATATCTGATATTTAGTAGATAGGAAAATATTGTTATTATGTAGAATGAAGGTGGTAAGCTCAAATTGACAACTAAATGGGGCAATTTTTAGAATTAATAGAACAAGGATTGATAAAATGACAAATGTGACAGATAAAAGTAATATGTGCAATAAATATAGAAATGAAATAAGAATCTTAGATAATGTTATAAAGTAAGATATAAGAATATCCCAAGAAAAATGAAATAAGTTTAGATAAGAATCAAAAGTGGATAAAATAAGTTTATAAGTTTAAAAATAAGTTTATCTTCTTGCCAAAAGAGAAGTTTTTTAAAAAAAACAAAAAATGAAAGAAGGAATTGAATAATGAAATTATCATGCATACTTAAATAATATTGTTATTGGCATTAGAAGAATGTATTGGAATATTGAATAATTAAATAATGAAAGATTATAATTTAATACAAATATGTGTATTAGAGACATTAGAGATATGATTAATAATGTTATTTTTGTTTGCACCAGAATGTATGATGCTTAGGTGCCACACTGTTTATGTATTGATGTATATATGTAGAATAAAATAAAAAACTTGTTAAAAAAACTTCTTTCAATCCAGCTTCCCACAGCATGACTCCTTCATATTGGTTGAATAAATAAGGGAGGAGTATATAAATTATGTCTTGTTTCATGAGGAATCCTTAGTGTTCTCTGAGCTTGCTTCTTTTCTAGCAGACATTTCACTCCTTTGCCAAACTGGAGTCAATTTTTTTCATTATGTTCTGTCTGTGGCTACCTGAACTGTATATAGGTTTCTAATATGGACAATGAGATGTTCTGCGATTCCCATTTTTTTGAGTACATTCCACAGTCGGATATAATCAATGCCAAGTGAATGACACACATATCGAGTTCTTTTTGGTCTTCATTGGCTTTCTCAGTCATCCATTGTGCATCAGCAATAATATCTTGTGTTCCTCAGCCTTTTCTGAAGGCTTGAACATCTGGCATCATTCTTCTATGTAGGGCTCTAATCTGTGCTGGTTTATTTTACTAGGGTTGAAATTAAGGATATTGTATCATAGTTTGCATACTTTATTAAGCCTCTTTTTTTGTATTGGAAAGTAGATTGATCTCTTACAATTTGTAGGGCCACTATGTCGTTCTCCAGATTTGCTAGCGTAGCATGTTTAGCAAAATACTCCCCCAAAAGACTTCCAAATAGTGTTTACAAAACTGTTTGAGAATTCTCAGCATTTCTCAAATAGCATCAATCTGTCTGATACCTGCTTAGCTCAAAGATGGACTTGAGCTAAGAAGATACAAGTTTAAAACCAATAGAACTAACTAGATAACCTTATTTCAATTACAATCCCTTAGTCTGAGCAACCTTTCAGATTTCTTATGAGGCTAAAACTGTAGAGCAGGGGTGTCAAATTGAATTTCTTTGAGGCTGGATCAGCATAGTTCTCCTCTGCGGACCAGCTGGTGGGGGGATGGGACAGGATGGGACGGACACCTCCTGCACCACCCTGCTGGCCAAATCTGGGTGGTCCCCCATGCCCCGCTTTGGCCGGCACAGCACTGCAGGAGGTCATTCAGACTGAAAATGGGGTGCAGGAGCCCCCCGCCACACAACTCATTTTAGCTGCCAGAGGCACCACAGGCTGGTCCTTTGCTATTTCCAGGCTAGCTCCATGGACCAGATTTAATCACCCCATGGGCCAGATCCGGCCTGCAGGCCTTGAGTTTGACATCCCTGCTGTAGAGAGTTGACTACTCTAAGAACACTTCCATGTGGCCAGCTCTCAAAACCATCACTCAAAGTCTCTGAGCTGATATTTATAAAGTATTAATGGTAACTCTTGAAGAGCCAGAGCCAACTTGCAGTTTTTTCAACTAACCAAAAAAAAAATATATGGCTAGGCCCTCAGGCTAGGCCTCTTTGCCTTGTTTCATTAGTTTGTTCTGAAGAAGAAAAGGAAATCAGTCAGTCAGCTGCAAAATACTGTATAGTCCAGTCAAAACCCACAATGGGAAAGTCATGGTGGTAAGTAGTCAAACTGATGTAAATGCTGCCAGTCCCTAAATTATAGAGAACTTGGTTTTTTCAAATTACAAAATAATGGCTGAATTGCTCAAAGACAAAGTCAGCTTAGGAAAAAGGACTTTACATCACTCTAGACAAAATCAAATGATAAGGTATCCAAAAAAAAATCTCAGATATGAATAATTTACCCATCTTGATTTCTTCTAATAGTAACGCATAGTTTGGGTTGTTGACTGGAGGTTATTCCTCCATTAAGTGCTAATCTGACTTATAAATTTATTGAATTGGATCTTCCATGTACAAGCAATTCCAAAATACTTTGGAATACTTGTTTTCCAGTTTGAGGATTGTCCATTAAATTGTCAAGGGCAAGGATGGCAGAGGAGGGAGAAGGAAAAGAAAAATGAGGACAAAGTCATAAAAATGATAATGTGGTCATCCTGCTGTCTTTCACAGGAAAAAAATAGTTTCACCCTACTGTCTGACATTATTTTGGTTATCATTTGCTCAACGATGTGGCAGGGGGTAAGGCAGAAGAAGAGAATGGATAAGAACAGCCTCATTAACTTTAAGTAGCAAATTACCTCTCCATTTCACCATGATGTGATTCTATACCGGTCATTAATTATTTGCTTCCAGAAAAAAATCTAATTAAATTATTTTTTTCCTTATTTACAGAAATGTACAGGTATATAGTTCCCATTGTTACTTGCAATATACAAAAGCATTCATCCATTCTTTTATGTGTGTATTAATTGCTAGGCATATAGATGATCTCCAATGTTAAGGTACATAAGTATTAATTTGTAACTCGGTGGGCATGATGCTATATTGTATGCTTTAATAAGAAAGAATAATTAAAGTGGCTTAGGATTTCACATTTGGATTTACAAACTTATTGTTATCAAAACTGGACTATGAATTACCAACCCTACCCACCTTAAACACACACAATTTACTTCTGACAAGCTTTGTTGTAGTTAAAGTAACACACGCCATCATGTGGCTGAGCCTAGAACTGCTTAGCACTGACAAATTATTCATAAAAGCATAAAAATCTTGTTTGAAAAATCTGCAGTGAGTTTATTAAAGGGTAGTAAATGTAAAAAATTGATTGAGTTGTCATTTTATTCCACCCCCCTCCACTTTGTTTACTTTTTTTACTACATTTACAGACAGATCATTATCTAATTTCTCCTGGGAAAATGTATTCTTGACAGCTGGCCAGGTGATTTTGGATTTTCTCTTAGCGAAACCCATCTGACAAGGTTATTGTTTTGGGGAAAATAGGAGTAAGAAGGAGCATTAGGTATGTTTGCTGCCTTGAATATAGAAATAGTAAAGGCAGGATAGAAATGAACAAACCAACAAATAATAAAAATGTGCTTGAATACAAAAATATATTTTAAGCAGCTCAAAAAATAGAATATTTTGAGCTTATATTTTGATCTCTTTGTTTTTCAATGTGTCTTGATATGTAAATCAAGGTCCATGAGCACATAGAACTACATGATTGTTTTCAACTTTTTCAACCATAACACTGTTATGGTTTCAACCATAACACTGTTTTCAACCATAACACTGATTCTACCTTTATTGTATATTTTATACCATTCTGTACAAAACGTGTGTCAGCTTGAGAGCCATACTTGGCTGTGAAAGGTCATAGTCTAAAAGTGGTGGGTAACTTTTTAAAAATTTAAATTAGCTTTTATATTATCCATTTATATTATAGTATTGTCTGGTTATATTTTTATGGAGGAGGAAGAGGAGGAGGAGGGGGGGAAGGAAGGAAGGAAGGAAGGAAGGAAGGAAGGAAGGAAGGAAGGAAGGAAGGAAGGAAGGAAGGAAGGAAGGGAGGGAGGAAGGAAGGAAGGAAGGAAGGAAGGAAGGAAGGAAGGAAGGAAGGAAGGAAGGAAGGAAGGAAGGAAGGAAGGAAGGAAGGAGATACCTTCTTAAATCAGGGGTTGAAAGGAAAGGCAGGGTGAGAGAGAAATGTTTAATTACTTTCAAGAGCTAATGCAGTGAACACAAAAAAAAAAGTGGAGAAAAGATAGGAAAGAAAAAGGAAAGGAAAGGAAAGAAAAGGCAACATTTGGGAAAATGGTGCATTGGAGAATGGATAGGAAATGACTTGGACATGGAGAGAAGGTAGAACATGGGAACTATATCCAACTCAATACCAGATTGCATCTGGACTGGTGTGAAGTTTTTGGACTTCTGTTCTAGACTAGTAAAGCAGAGGATCTTTGCAAACCTTTAATCAATTTTTCTTGAATTCTTTCAAGATTCTAAAAAAACACTCCTATAGAATATGTTCCTGATTTCTTTCCTTGCACTGGGAATGTCCACAAAATTTCACAGGAGATGATTACAGATATGATGAAGTAGAAAGGAAGGTAGAACTTAACATAGTAAGAAGCAGTTATTGTCAGCATTGATTGGTATTCGTTCTTTATAAGCAGAATCATCTAACATCCTCTCTTATGCCCTTCATCCTTTACACAGTGTTCCAGACTTTGGTCTGATTCAAGTGCTTACCTGGCTAATCTTGTTCTTCATCATGCTGAAATCAATAGCTGAGGCTGCATCTGTAGTTTTATAGTGTGATCCACTTTGTTTATGTCCTTCACTCTTCAGGGAATATCTCAGAGAATTCTGTCTTGTATTATTGGATGTAAGTTCAAATGCAAAGGAATCACATTTAGTAAACAGAAATGAACTCACTCACCTTCGGCAACATCATCATCAACTGTAAGTTTGAGACTCTTTCCTCGGCGTACCACTCGGACTGTGTGCCACTCATTATCATTGAGTTTTTGCCCAGCATAAAGGGTTTCTGGTCCTTTACCTGGAGACAGCAGCAAGTAGAAGCAAGTGTTAAAATCACATCAAATGCATAGCAACATTTTGCTTGGTTGGAAAAAAAACACCACTGAAATCAACTTGGTGTGAATATGTAAAAGCTACTTAATTCAGAGATGACATAAAGACACGCACTTAGATATCTAATAAACTTGCACATTTGTTCTAATTAAAATTGAAGGAGGTTATTATTCTCTAACAAGGACTGCTATCCTTTTTCTGTATAGAAAGTGTTTATGTGTTCAAGTTTTATCATCTAGTAGATCGGTATCTTACCTTTCCTCCCACAGCTCAATCTGGCTTTCGAAAGAATCCTCTTTCATTTGTGCCTACACAAGTCTTGTGAGGTAGGCTTGGTTGAGAAGAGGTGATTGGGTAATGAACACTCATTAGCTAACTGAGTTCCCATGGCTAATGATGAATTTGAATCTAGACTTCCTTGGTTCCAATCAAACACATTAAACACTATCACCATAAAGGCACTCTTATCATTCTTAAAGTTCATCACAGAAACTAACATGTAATTGCTTAATTTCATTATCAATGGATCTTCTGTTACTCTTGATGATAATTTATACCAGGTTGTTTTCAGAAAGCATGACTTCACATCAGGTCAAGCATAAACCACATCGAAACAATTTTATTCACTTTATGCCTTGCAACAGGTATAACCATAATTTCAGACTTCTGTTTTATTACTGAAGTATTTTTGCAGCCCTAATTTCCACTTCAACATTTTCTACAAATTCTCTGGTAAACAATGCTCCTAAAGGCAAAATTGGATATGCCACTTTTTAGTTTTCTTTCCCAATAAATATCCCAATAAATATCCATTTATAAATTCAGCACCATTAGAGAGAAAAAAAGAATAGCATTTATGGTAAAAGCAAAACTATGTATATTGTGATGTGCATAAATTAGTTTCAACTACAAAAATAAAACTAAAGCTTTTATGGTGCAGAATATGCAAATAACATTAATTGAAGTTTAAAGGCTTATACTACAGCATGCAGATTCTAGTGTAATTATACATTTGGACTTAGTGGTAAATTGAACTTCAGTGGTGGTTCTATGTAAGGCAACATTCTCATTCAATAAATGATTTGGATTGAGAGGATGAGAGTAGCATTATTGCCAATTAAATTCCAAGACGGATGGTTACCTGCTATAAGTCTGTATTCAGCTAACATATATTCTAATATTATAATTAGACATTCTAATATATCCTTGCAAAAATTTCAAAACAATCTATGTTGTTCATGGAGTAAATGTCCTGGCCTTTAATGTGTATTAATTATGATAGGATAATAATAAAGGATAATGTAGTCTGTGATAAAACATCTACTCATTCTAGTTCATCAGAGTTGGTTGATCTGATTAATTTGTTTCAGAAATTGTGACTCAATTTCTCAATTTCCTCTATATAACTGTCTTCTATATAACTAGCCATTTCAACTGCAGCAATCCATGTCTAAGCAGGGAAACTACAGCTTTTGAAATGAATGCAGACTGAAAATCCAAATGTAGATCTGGATTGTATTATTCTATTATTATTTCTTCCCATAATTGTATGGACTTTCAAATTATTCAAATATTTCTAGAGTTTCAAAATACAAACTATTAGAAATTTAATAGAGTCAGTTGGGATCCACTCAGTCTAAATATTATCAGACTGAATTGGTTGCTTTTATTATGAAGAATCATATAGCATAAATGTAATAAATATGACTAGCAGGTTTTTCCTTGCTGATGTTTTATAAAAAAATATTGTAGTAATGCAAGTATTTCATGGGTACTTTCTATGAAAACATTTAACAACTAATTAAATGTGACTAATGACAAAATTTCAATCTTTCTGCTGTGTACAGCCATTTTGCTTTTTAGATCAGTCACGGAACCCAATGGCAGGAGTGATTAATGTGATCCCATAATGATAATAGGCAAGCCAAAGAAATGATAGCCAATAGCACTTTTTAAATGTATCCAAATAATTCCATTTCTGTCTGCTTCATGACACCAACAGTATTCATACACCTGTTTTTTAGGATGGGAAACTTTTAGCTGGTTCTGTTAGATTAAAGGATTAAGGTTTCCTCTAAATGACAATATTGGGTGGAGTAAATACTGTATTGGTACTACTTCACTTTCTAGAGTGTAGCTATATGTAAAACAAGTGGCATTCAGAGATCAAAACTCTGAGTAGCTCAGAGGAGTTTGCAAGAGAAGGGATTATCCTGTCTTCTAAGCCTTTTTAGCTATTCTTGGAATTAAACTTGCAATGCAACTATTGAAAATCATTTTAAATTGCTTATCACCTCTTCCTTCTTTGTTATCTAGCTTTGTTGTTTTCCTTGAATGCTTTTTGTTTTTGTTATTTGGGAGACATCTGCAGTGAGAAAAGAACTGTTTGTCAGCCACGATTACCTCCTGTAAATTTCTGCTCAACATCACCTTTGTCACAGTTCTATCATCAAAGTTGCCACAGCAACAAAATTTAATAATATAGGCAGCAGTGCAGGTGGTCCATCCAAAAATAATTTCTAAAAATATTATTTGTTTCCTTATTCTATTTATAGATAGGAAATTGGGAATAAATGACCAGAAAGGAGAGTGGGAGAGAAAGGGAGGGAGAGACAGAGAAAGAACAGCAAATAGACTATTTCTATTTTCTGATTGCTTTTATGAGATGACAACAGGTTACTAAGTATTTGTTGTTGTTATTGTTTGTTACCTAACTTATACGTTCAAATAAGAACCAAGATTAGCATATACTGTAACAAATACAGGCAAAGACAGTTATGCCTGAGGTAAAAATTTATTAGTAGGTTTCCATAATTTACAGCAGGAGATTGGACTAAAGAACCTCCAGGGTTCCTTCCAAGTTTGTTATACTGTTATTATTATAATACTATTCTGACAGTAAGAATTGCAGGAGTAGCAATACGTTCTCTTGTTTTGGAGACATGCATTCTCACAGATCCTCACTTTGAGGATTAATTATCTTTAAAATTAATAATTAAAAGGTATTAAGCTGTCCTCAGTGAAAGTAGTTTTGAATGTCCCAATGTAAAGTATCAGTCTTATTCTAAGAAGAAGAAGAAAGAAGAAAATTGGATGGATGTATGAGAAGAAGGAAGGAAGGAAAATAAAATAATTAAATTTTTTGTTTTCTAGATAGAATATCCCTACCAGAGCATTTTGATGCACATTTGGGGAAACATAAAAATGTAGTGAATGATATCAACCACAAACATTAAGCCAAAAGTGATGGGTGCAATGTTTATATACAAAGCAACCATTCTAATGTTTTTTATTATGTGTTTTCAATGGCATAGGTGTATACAAAATTGAAGCTAACTGGTTTACTATTTATCGTACGTAAAGATATATTGGTTAAATAACCATTATCATTAAATATAAAGGGTTCAAAAATAACCTACTTCCTTGAGGAGCATTGTAATACAGAGAAACAAATGAACCACAATAAATTATAAATCCATTCACATTCGCTCACACATTTATTCTTTATGCAAATACTAGTTTTAAACATTCCTTACCAGAAAAATGCTTGCAGCAAAACGAGGAACATAGAATATCCTTCAGACTTCTTAGCCTTGCTCTTACTTTTCTTACCTTTAAAATCTCTTTCAGTCCATCCTTCCAGAGTGAGGGAGATCATTGCCACATTATAAAATAGCTAAGCTCAATGTATTATTCTGCTTTATCAACAATGCTCACAGCAAAATAGCCACCCCACACCCACATCTGATAAATTCAAAAGCTCAGTAAGTCAACTTCCTACATTTTCATTATGATCTGTATTACAAACACCCCTACAAGATAAAAATGCAAATAGCTTTATTTTTTATTGTATATTTTTTTATCCAATTCGTATACCACCCAGTTATATTCTGTAAGTCTGGGCAGTTTACCATAAAACAAAAATCACAACACACAGTAGAATTCAAATTCTTTAACATATAGTCAAGTCTAGTCTCTTTAACATCCACATTGACAGATTTTACCACCTTACAAAATGTGTGGAGGGGGGAGGGAGGGCTCATAAAATTCATAGAGCATGTTTCATATTGGGAGACTGCCACTGAAAGAGAGCACCTATGGGTCCTTTATTCTTTCCCTTAATACAGGTTGCAAACCTCAGGACAGTGTCTGGAATAGAATAGAGTACAGGCTAAGATGGTCTTGAAGGTATACAGAAGGTATACTTGAACCAGTAGGGCTTCATAGGTTAAACCAGCATTTCAAATTCAATCCAAAAACAAACAGATAACTACCCAGTGACTGAAACCCCTTTTGCTATACTGCTAAACTTTTGGCTAGTCAGGATATTGCATTTTGGCCCAGTTGCATATTCTGAATTAGTTCCATGTCCCAGGACTCGAAATCTGAAGAAGCAAAGCTGCTTTAGCTGAACCAGTGGAATAGCAGCTTCAAGGCCACATCAGAGCAGCTGGACAAGTCAGATGAAAAAAGTGTGGCCTTCAAACTGCTAGGCTTAGTGAGTAAAGTGGAAAGTAGAGCAAAGGTGCTCAGTGAGGTTCCTTGTCATGCTTACCTTAACAGAAAGAGAGAGGAGGGAGTGGGGAGGGAGAGATGGAAGGAAGGAAGGAAGGAAGGAAGGAAGGAAGGAAGGAAGGAAGGA